AAAGTAGAGATGAGGTCTCGCTGCCCAAGAGGGTCTCGAACCCGCGGGCTCAGGCAATCCACTCACCTCAGCCTCCCAAAGGCGCGGGATGACGGGCTGAGCCACCAAGCCCTGCTGGGTCCCAGATGTTTAAAGAAACAGCAGTGGGGAAGGTCACCGAGCAGAGAGTCTTGGTCCCAACACCACCATTCACAAGCCCTCTGACTAGGCAGATGTGTGGCTTCTCTGGGCCTCCATATCCTCATTTGTAAAATGGGAGTTGCACCATGTGCCTTGCCTAGCTCCGGAGACAGTGAGCCTCAAAGGGAAACACACATACTGACTCTCAGCTTGTGTCATTGACAGCGTTCATGAACAGTTCAGATCTTTTAGTGGTGGGAAATTGATCCTGCTGCAAGCTGTCCTTCCTTCACATCTGAAACCCTACTCCTGATATTTCCCCTGTGGTTTTGAGAACTCCTGGTTGGCCTGTACTCACATCGCCTCTTTTACCTACCCTTCAAATATTAATGTCCACCTGGGTCTGTCTTCTGCCTTCTTTGAATTTCAGTCTAAACTTTGTCCCTGAACAGTCTCTTTATCCCACATCTGTGCCTGTCACCCACATCTCTGTCCCAAACCCCAGCCAGACCTAGACTTCAGCAGACTTCTGCAGGTCTCCATCAGCATGCCTGGGCTGTCACCTCCCACTAGCATGTCCTGGTTTCCTTCTCTTAGTGACAAGTGCCCACTGTTTGCCTAGCCGCTGTTGTCAACACGTACATTGCTGCCAGACATTGCACCTTGTCGGCCTCCAGTATGGGATTCCCAATTGCAAGTTCCTTGATTCATTCTCTAGTAGCTTCTAGAGATGTGTCGAATTTGCCTCCGATGCCTGTCACTTAACCAGACAAACCCAGCACCACAAGAGGACATAATTCTGTCCTCAGGAACTTGGTCTCACCAACTCCTTGGCCCTATGTGTCTCTTTGTGCCTGCCGTAGCAAAGCCCCTGCAGTTCCCAGGTGCGTGATCTGTTTCTGTGCCCGGAGTCTCCCCCTCCTCATGCCAGCATCCTCATCAGCCCTACTCCAAAGCCTTCCCTGAACAGCCCTGCCCTGATTAGGTATTTTCTTCCATACCCTCAGACCTGGGCCTGGGCATTGTAAGATGTCCGAGGAATGACGATGCTGTGCCTTTTGGTTTTCTTGTTCAGCCTTCCCTACTAGTCTTATGTGAGCTTCTTGAATCCTTATTCACTGAATCGCCAGCACACAGAATGTCACAGAAACTTAATAAAAGAGCGTGTACCCTCTTAATTTGAGCCCATGTTTGCAGTTGCTTCCTTCTATTCATTCTTTGGCTTGCCAGGGGAGCAGGGTCCTTTTTCTTTCCTTTTTTTTTTTAAGATTGAGATGAGCCGGGCATGGTGGCTCATGCCTGTAATCCCAGCACTTTGGGAAGCAGAGGGGAAAAGATTGCCTGAGCTCAGGGATTTAAGACCAGGCTGAACAACATGGCGAGACCTCATCTCTACAGTAAATCAAAAAATCAGCCAGGCATGTTGGCACATGCCTGTGGCTCCAGCTACATGCCTGAGGCAGAAGGATCACCTGAGCCCAGCAGGTTGAGGCTGCAGTGGCCGTGAGTGTGCCACTGCACTCCAGCCTGGGTGACAGAGTGAGAGTGAGACTCCAACTCAAAAAAAAAAAAAGATTGAGATAAAATTCATATAACAGCCGGGCTCGGTGGCTCAGCCTGTAATCCTGCACCTTTGGGAGGCTGAGGTGAGTGGATTGCCTGAGCCCGCGGGTTCAAGATCCGCCTGGGCAGCGAGACCTCATCTCTACAATCAATCAAAAAATCAGCCGGGCGTGGTAGCACATGCCTGTAATTCCACCTACTCGGAAGGCTGAGGCGGAAGGATTGCCGGAGCCCAGCAGACGAGGCTGCGGTGGCCAGGAGCGGCCACTGCACTCCAGTCTGGGCGACAGAGTGAGACTCCAACTAAAAAAAAAAAAAAAAAAAAAAAAAATATATATATATATATATATATATATATATATATATATATATATAAAACATAAAATTAATCATTTTAAAATGTACAGTTGAGTGGCATTTAGGACATTCACAGTATTGTGCAGGCACAGTCCCTAACTGGTTCCAAACATTTCATCACCCCAAAAGAAAAACCCTGTCAAGATTCCACTTATAGGAAGTAGCTAAGCATCAAACTCGTAGAACCAGAGTGGACTGGTGGTTGCCAGGGCTAGGAGGAGGAGAACAAGTGGAATTGATGATAAAGGAGTGTAAAATTTCAGCTATGCAAGGTAAATAAGTTCTAGGCACCTGCTGTACAATGTTGTGCCTGTATTTGACAGTAGTGTATACTTTAAAAGTTGTTAAGAGGATAGGGCATTTGTTAAATGTTCTTACCACAATAAATTACCCCTTGCCCATTAAGCAGTCATCTCAGTTTCCCCGTGCCCTGGCCCTGGTCTACTTTCTGTCCCTATGGATCTGTCTATTCTGTACATTTCATACAAATGAATCCATACACTAGGTGGTCTTTTGTACCTGGCTTCTCTCATTTAGTGTAGTATTTTCAAGGTTTATCCATGTTGTAGCATGTATCTGTTCTTCCTTTTCCTGGCTGAATAATATTCCATTGTGTGGATATATGCCACTTCCATTTGTCCATTCCTCGTATAGGGGACATTTGGATTGTTTCTACCTTTGGGCTGTTGTGAATAATGTTGTTGTGGACATCTGGGTACCTGTTTTTTCACTCATTCTAGCCTCATACCACTCCCCATTATCATATTTTTCCAAACCAGAATTCTGTACACCTGATATATATGTGTGCAAAGTCTGTTAAGGGAAACAACTTACCTCGTGCTGCCTCTGCTCCATGTCCATCTTTCTCCAAGCTTTTTTTGTTCTCCATCGCCTAAGTCTTTGATGAATCCCAATTTGTGATTCATCCCATTTTGTCTTTAGGTAATTAACATGTAGTGTGCATGTCTTGTCTCCACAGTGAGGGTTTTAAGGTCAAAATCCCTCTTAGGCTTCTGTGTTCTCTGCAGAGCCTAGCATAGCTTGGGTCATCCAAGCAGTCCTCTGGTTCCCAGGCCTGTGCCTGCTTTGTACCACCTGTCCACTGGTGACTGACCTTCTGATGCTCTCCCCTGTCCCTCTTGCAGATGATGTGCTGACTAAAGACGCGGGTGAGTGTGTGATCTGCCTGGAGGAGCTGCTTCAGGGGGACACGATAGCCAGGCTGCCCTGCCTGTGCATCTATCACAAAAGGTATGAGGGGCTGACAGATCCCACATCTCAGAATGTCCTTTTTGGCTGTGGGATGACCTCTCTTCCCACTCCTGGCTCTGGGTGGGGTCAAGGCAGAGGCCAGTGGAGGGTATGGGCAGCCCAGGGCAGAGTTGAGTTGCTAAAGGTTTCCTATGGCTTGAAGACTCGGATGGTGGAAGCTTATGGGGAAACCTGTGGAGACAGTTTGGAGAGGCCTAAGTTCCCATTTGGAAGGCTGGTTCTCCATCTGTTTCCCTGAGGCGCTTCCTCTGTGGGCCTTTGTGCCCCACAGGCAGCGTGGAGGGAGTGCTGCCCTGCACTCACCTTCTCCCCGAGGGCCAGGAGACAGGAAAAGCCACTACCTATGGGGCCATGGCACACAGGGCCCAGCTTTGTCCTTGGGCTCCAGCATGAACCTTGTTCTTGTTTCCAACTGGAAAGAAGACATCTTCTTGCCCAAGACAGAAGGACGTTCTGTGCTGCCTGTGACCACTACCTGCTCTCTGGCTCCTCAAGCCCAGAGCTTCTTCCTAACACACAGGCCTTTCAAAGGCTGATTCTTCAGGTCCACTGGTCCACAGGGCGACAGCTGCGCCTGGCACACGATATGGCTGGTGCAGAGGAGGCTCAAGGTTAGCTTGGGAGAGCTTCTTAGTCTGGGTCCCAGCCCAGAGCCTTGCAGTGTCCCAGGGAGGCGGTAACCAGAACCAGAAAAGGAAATCTTGGACCCTGGGAGAGAATTATGCAAATTATCTGTCTGGTTCCTGTCTTTGAAAATGCCCAGATGTTGGTTTACAAATCAGGAAGCTGTCTTGGGGCTATCTCTGTTCCCTCTTTGATGTAGACAGTCCTTTTTTCTGAATACTGGAGTCCAGGGCTTCACTGGCAGCCTCCTCCCTGGTTTGCTTTCTTGGCAATGAAAGCCAAGGGTCCCTTCCCCTTCCCACCTTCTCTGGGAAGAACTAGATGACAGCTATGCAGGGTACAGCTTGAGGCTCTCCTGAGAGGTCATGCCATGGGAGGGAGCCTCACAGCTGCTCTTTTGACCCAGAAGGGGGCTTCCACAGGACCCCAGGACCCAGAGCTATGGCCATCCTGTCATGCCATTCTTCCCTGCCCTTCAAGGCTTTGAGACAATTGTCTAGCTGCCCTGCACGGTCCACCCGCTCACACCTTCTCACTAGTAGCTGATATGGTCCTCTTGGACTCAGTGCACATAAGGCCTCGACCCCTCTCAAGGCCACTCTCCCCCTTCCTGCAGCACCAAATTCTTCCAAGCCTACGGCTGAGCCCAAAACAGTCTTGATCTTCTCCCTTCTCTCGTTTCAAAAAGGAGGGAGCTGGGGACACGAGTGTTTTTCCCTGGGGTCCTTTCAGGAGACACTTAGGAATCTCCTGCTCAGAGTCTGGCCTTTCTGAAGGAGCGGTCTGGTCAGCAGGTAACGTGGTTTCCCTTGCTGCCTCTTCCACCCTAGCTGCATAGACTCGTGGTTTGAAGTGAACAGATCTTGTCCAGAACACCCCGCGGACTGACCCTTCCGGGCTTGCTTGCTGACTCCTCTCAAAGGTGAGTCTGTGGTTGGGGTGCTTCAGGCTTGAGGCTCAGGTCGAGTCCCTTTGGGGGCTGCTGGTGGGGAAGCTGGCTGCCCTCATACCCCCGAGAAGAAAGCAGGAGCAGAGGGAAGGAAGGGCGCACCTTAGCAGTTAGTAGTTCCCTTGAGAGAGTACAAGATACAAACTGACAGGGAACATGGGAACATGTTTGTGAAGAACATGCTCAGAAGAGTTAGCATTCTAGGGAAAGGGCAAGGTATTCTCAACAACTAGGGTGAATCTCCCTGAAGAAAATTCAGGAAGATCCCTGGGAGTGTGTGCGGGCAGGAGAAGGAGCACTGTGTCTGTACCCAGCTTGGCCTCATCCCCGCTCACCGCAGGTGGAATCTCCGTTTCTCCTCTGGTAATAGGGATCATCTCACTCCCTGTCGCCATATGGACATTGCACTTCTCACACAGCCTATGGGCCGGTGCATTGTCCCCCGCAAAGTGCTTGTCAGCGATCATTTTACCGCTGGTTCTTCCTGCCCAGATGTTGGATCCAGATGGATCTGAGGCCTCCAGCCAAACTCAGCTCCTCTGTCCCACAGCACAGGGTGCTGACACCACAGCAGCCCAAACAACAGCTGCCCCAACCCCCAGACATGCAACCACCCCCCACCTCGCTCAGGGCTTGGCCTCTACTTTTCCCCAGAGCACCTTGCTTTGTCGTTGACCATCCTCTCCTGTGCCCCATTGTATCTGTCCCTTCTGAGTTATGGGCTGGTGTTCTGTTTTGTTTTGTTTTTTCTGGCAAACAAATAGACAAAAACCCCGGAAAAAAACAAAAGCCCAACTGCACCTCATCTTACATCCAAAAGCTTCGGGTCCTCGTCTCTCCACCCTTCCTTCTCTCTTTTCTCTCTCTTTCCTGTTTTTGTTTTCTTTTGTTTCGTTAGGTTTATTTTATTTATTCCAAGTAATCTCCCAGAACAGCTGATGATGTCAGACAAATCAGGGACATTTGCTCTTTGCCTTCACCTCGAAAACTGATGCCAAGGGGAGAAGAAAAAGCAAGGGTGAGAGTGAGGCAGAGGGAGTGGAGCCTGCCCAGGAGTGCGGGTCCAGGCTCCCCGCATGATGTTTGGCTTCTGGGGGCCTGCCCAGAGCAAACCCCGGACACCCCGGCTGGCCTGCCCTCAGCGGGATGCAGCAGCCAGCCCTCAGCCCGGACGGAGCACGACTTGTTTATTACGATCTACACAGGGACAGACAGGCCCTGTTCCCAAGAGGAGGCTCATCGGACACTGGGGCAGAGCTGAGCTTGGGACACCAGTGGGAACAGGGCACCCCTTCTGCACTGACTTCCAGAAAATGGTTCTCCCTTCCTCCCTGAGGACACCAAATTGGATGAGAGCGAGTTTGAGAGAAGATTGAATCAACTGCTATCCTTCCCCTCACCCCTCAGCCCAGGAGGGAAAGGGCATTTTCTTTTTCACATTTGAAAGGCGTTGTGGGTCTGTCTTTAAAGTGTTTACAAAAAAAATTATATAAAAAAAAGTCTAGTGTCGACTGGTGTTTTCCCTCATGATGTTTACAGATTGCTGTTTGCTGCCCAGCCATAACCCACTCAGTGACAGAAACGAACACGGCCAAGTCCTCGCCACCTGCCTTCTGATGGCAGGCGAGCGCATACGGTCTCTTCCTTCGCCCGGCGCCCCCTTCAGCCCTCTCCATCACCAACCTCTCTACCTTAGATTTTTTTTTTTTTTTTTTCCATTTTTCTGGCTTGGTTTTGCACTTGTCTCCCCTTGAGATCCTGAGATCTTGACTTCATTGCCAAAAAAAAAAAAAAGTCGAGGACTTTTCCTCCCACCAGTCCTATTTCTTTTCCTTCTTTCCTCCTGGTTTTGATCAGTTCAGAGGATTTAACAATCACAAGTGTCCTGCAAAAATGCCTGAACATTATTATTCTTAGGCCCTTGTGGATTTTTTTTTCCAGAAAACTTAAACAAAAAGACTTACTAAGAAATATGTACAGCTACCCCTGTTTTCAGGCACTCTGAGAACATTTTAGCCATTGGTGTTCACACGTGGCATCAGCCCATGCAAGATAGGTTTCTGTATTTATATATTAAAATACAAAAAAAAACCCTATAAAATGTTTAAAAATGTTCAAAGCTTGGGAAAAAAGCTTTCTTCATTAGTCAAGGTGTTTTGATATGGTATTAAAATAATGTCTAATAAAAGATGCACTGTGTGATTTTATTTTAATGAGGTATTGTTATAAATTCAAGAAATGGGGGCAAAGGCCTGTCCCCCACTCCCTCACCTACCTCCTTAGCATTCCTTCAGGCTACTACGTGGGGCTACAGGTGTGTGAAGTGGTTCAGACGGTCACCCCCGGGTGGAGGGAAAGCGGCAGGTCAGGCGTGCGTCCTACAAGTTGACAAACCCTCCAGCATCATGGAATCAACCTGCCATCATCTGCGGAGTGGTTGTGCCGGACTCTTCTGGAAAGGTCTGCAGGGGCAAAGATCTTGTGGCCACCAGAGGCTCAAGGATGTGGGCTCTTCCAGGTGTCGGCCCAGGCCCCTCCCTTACAGCCTCTACTCTGTCCTGCATTCCACCCGCCTGTTGCTTGGTTTGCATCTCAGTGCTGACTCATGGGCATGCTTCATTGAGGCCCAGGAAGAGGCCCTAACTTGGGGCTGAGCCACTCAGAGCCTTGAACCAGAACCAGCCACTCAGGCTCACAAAAATTGGCAAACTGCGGACTGGGCGGGAAGCTCAGGGCAGGGCTCAGCGGTGTTCACCCGGCCTGTCCCGATGCCAGACAGGCTCCCGGAGCCACGTTCCAGGGCCTCCTGCAGAGCCAGTGAAAGAAAACTCTGGAGGGAGACGATTCCATGCCTTCTTTGCTCCAGCCCTTCTCAGGCCTGCCTGATGTGCTGTGATGGCCTCGGAGCTCCGGCCCCAGCAGTCTGCACCCTCCCACTGCTGCCACAGACCCCAGCTCCGCACCCACCTTCCATCAGAAGCTTCCTGAAGCACCAACCAGTGGGCAAATGTGAGCCAAGGCCAGCAGGCATGCCCGGCAGGTTCTAAGAAATACTAAAGAAGACTTGGTGACTCTGGCCCTGGGCCTCAGTGTGGGACGCTCCTTGGGTGGTGACCCCGGGGCTACTGTGAGAGTTGGCAAGAACGTGGGCTCTAAACTGTCTGTGTATGGCTCTTCTGCTTGGCAGAGTGATCTTGGAGAAACAGCTTCATTCATCTGAACTTCTGCTTTCTCACGTGTGAAGTGGGGACAGAACCACACAGCTCAGAGGTCACTGCGAAGGTCGGGGGTCTGTCCTCCAGGCCCTGGCACATGCACAGTGGCCTCCCTCATGGCTTTGTCACCACAAAGGGCACTGTTCTATTCACAGCACCTCCTGCTTCTGCCTGGCAACTGTGTCTCCCTGTGCTATATTTAATTCCACCAGCAAAGCTGGCGAGGCAGGGCCCAGCCCGGAAGGAGATCTCCTTGCCTGACCCCTGGACCTGGAAACAGGCTTCGTGTACCCACCTTGGTGGCTTCAGCCTGCCGCTTTTGCAGTGGCTTGGGCGAGCCGAGCGGCTGTGAGCTGGGTGGGGCAGGGCTGTAGCCCACGCTGGGTGCTACTCCAGGCTCTTGGGGCTGGTGCTCATCCCCGTCCCCAGTGACTTCACTCCCACCTGGCACGCAGCCGCCCTCTGCTGGCTGCTGTGCCCTCTGAATTCGGACCCAGCTTCTGTGTTAGGGTGGGAGTGGCGTTGTCTGGGCTTCCCAGGGGGAGCTGGCTTGTCATTCTCCATTCAGACAGCTCCCCAGGACCTCATGTTGCCCCTGCTCTGCCATTCTGGGAAGGAGAGGATGGGGAGGAGCCAGGGGGTGGGCTGTGCCCACTCTCCGTCAGCACGTTTTTGTGGGGTTCTGGGATAGGAGCCCCTCACTAAGGCCATTCATCTAATAGCTATTTAATGGTATTGAGGTTTGTAGGAGAATGCCCTTATTCTTAGGAGATAGACACTGAATTATATAGACGAATGCCTTCAAGAAATGTGTAATTTAATTCCAAATGGTTCCCCCCAAAATCATACAAAGCAAATAAGGCAAAATGTTCATGTTGAATCTTCAGTGGCTGGTATTTCAGTGAATGGTGTACGTGTTCTTTCAACTTTCTGTATGTTTGGAATTTTTCTTAATAAAAAATTGTGGGGAAATGGTCATTTGCTGAGTGCCTACTAGTTGTCAGGCACTGGACGGCGCATCAAAGAGCCCTGCCCAGGAGGGGAGAACCCGGCCCCCGCAGAATTCTCACCTGGGAGGGCTGTGTCTGTGGTAAGCACATGTGTGTGCTGGGACGGCTTGGGGAGAGGGTCGATGAAACTTGTCACCAAACCACCCTAGGCACAGCCCCTGCTCCCCACCAGGACAGTAAGGGACAGAAACGTCACAGGAGCGACTCAAGGCTCAGATTGGTGTCATGGCTGTCAGCTGGACCCCAGTGTTAGCACGGAGGAGGGGTTCCAAGGACTGAGGTTGGACAGAAGAGTCCAGAGCTGCTGCCTCTGCCAAGGACCTGGCAGCCCGTCCTGACTGCTGATGGGGGGGGCAGGAGGGTGCTACTCCCTGTGCTGGGGCACCTGCATCCTGTCAGTCCCTTACAGGGGCCAAAAGCCTAGTGTGTGGGGGAGATGGGCTGCACTACAGGCTCCTGGCCTGCAGGGGGTAGCGAATTTAGACAGGCTGCCAGGCCCTGCCCTGACCCTAGGAGGCGGGTGGCCCAGGGCTGAGGCCTTGAACAAAGGTGTGTCCTGAGCCACAGCTGCCCAGAGCAGATGCTGGGTGTCCGAGCTTCACAGTGTTGGGCGCCCTCTCGTGGGCTTAGGGGAACAACTGCCAAGGTTTCCAGACAATGGCTCTGGCCAGGTGCCCAGTGATCCCAAGACTAGCAGCCCAGGGTACACACCTTGATCTTGAGGGCGAAAAACGGACTGGTAGCACAGTACATCACACAATGGAGAGGTGTGGCACAAGGAAAATAGTTCCACTTGAATTTCTAAAGATTAGTGGCAGCTGCTTGAAGAACACGTTCAGAGTGTTCTAAGGTTCAGTACAGGCCCAGTGGGGGAGTTTGCCATAGATGACATCTGCCTTAGGCAGGTCTTCAGACCTGAGGTTCTCACAAGCAGGGAGGAGGAGAGACCTGGTTCCTTTCTGAAGCCTAAGCACTGTCCCCTCCCCAGGCTGGGACAAGTCAGAGGACAGGCTTCACTGGCCAAAAGATTAAAGAACCTGGAAGGGAAGGGGAAGGAAGTGCCGCCCACTGACTTCCAGACAGCTGCATGTGGGTTTCAGATTTATTGGCGGTGGGAGAGTCCAAGAAGACTTATCAACTTAGAGCAGGAAGTTCCTTCCCATACAAGGAAAGCAGTGTTCAACAGGTGAGGGGGAAGGAACTTGGGCCCCCAGTAGTGGGGAGGCTTGACAGAGGGGTATCATCTGAATCTTGGGCCGGACCCATTCTCCCAGCCAGGATGATGTGTAAGAGCAGAGAGGAAGCAGCTTTGTCAAGAACCACTCTGGGCCAAAGGCTCCCAAGGATGGTAAGAAAGCCAGGCAGGAACCTCCCAGGGTCTCCCAGCCCTCTGGCCTTGGGTCCAGTACAGAAGGCAGAAGGCAGGGTGGCAGATAAAGACAGCGTCGACCACTGTTCATCCCTTACAGGGTCAGTGACATGAAGGAAAAATGGGCTGCACAGTCCGGGGGCTTGCAGGCTGAGTACTCAGAGCCCCTCACAGCACCTTGCCTGGGTTCATGAGGCCTCGGGGATCCAGCATGACCTTGAGCTGCCGCATGGTCTCCATGCCCACAGCGCCCACCTCTTCCTGCAACAGCTGCCGCTTGCCCAGCCCGATGCCATGCTCTCCCGTGCACGTCCCGTGGAGGGCCAGGGCCCGCCTGGGAGGCAGAGAGACGCCATCCTCAGTGGGCTTCTCTTCCCACCGCCCTCAGCTCTCCCCCTCCCCAGCCTCGCTCCCACCTGGCAAGCTGCTCTGCAAAGGCCTTGACCCTGCGGAGCTCCTCAGGGTCGTCCGGGTGGACCACAAGGATGCAGTGGAAGTTGCCATCGCCCACATGTCCGACG